TAGGACATCAGTCACATACGTCTACAGACATTAGTGGGTGGTTGTAATTAGTTAATTGTGTATATTTCGCAGAATATCACTTAGTTATGGGGGTATCCATATGAGCGTTAAATAAAACATTTGGTATTTGACACAAAATAAACCTACATTTTACCCTGTATGAAATTATGTTCACTTTGTTCAATAAAATGATGGTGATCATTCGTGGAGGGGAATTGTACCGATACATCTGGCAAATGTTTCACGCTTGTGGATCATCATCCACTTAACGGGAATTAGAGTATTGTAACCTTTTAAGACTCGTGAACGTATTGTTCCCTTTCATTAGACCAATTTCTGCTTCGCTAAGAACTCTGCTTTGCATATCCCGAACGTCTGAGCATATTCCATCGCACTGGTAACACATATGCGTTTATATCACGCGAATAACAAACTCGCTGCTGGATTAGTCTGTCAAATTGGATACCATAGCTTTTGTGAATAGTAGGCCATATGTGGTACACTAACAGATTAATAAAAAATCCCCCAAAATCGGATTACGGATTATCGTCGGATATTTACATCGGAAGGAATTTCAATTCCCCCGAAGACCCAGAATGTCGTTGTTTTTTTTAAGTGACCTATTAATAAAAAATAAATGACGCAATGTATGCAAAATACATTATATAAGCCGACATAACTCTAAGAACATTTATTTTTAACATGTTATCTATATATAGAAGGAAAACTACCCATCAGCAATGTTAATGTCACAATGAGCCACAGACCATTTTATTTGTTTGAAAAGTATGGATAGAAAAACAACAATGAATAGAATTACATAAATGACTTTATGAAATTAGAACAACAAATTTGCAATTCAGCTGCCTCCAAATAAGGTTATTGTGTGCCGTATGTATTAGAATTTAAATAATTTATTTTCATTCTATTTATTTTCTAATCTACTTTTTTTTTAATTTTGATTGTTTTTCGTATTTCATGTCTCTTCTTCTTCTTCTTCTTCTCTTCTTCTTCTTCTTCTTCTTCTTCTTCTTCTTCTTATTATTATTATTATTATTATTATTATTATTATTATTATTATTATTATTATTATTATCAATATATAAAAATAATGATTGTCTCATAGATCTGCTCATAACTGTGTCCGAATGTTTGAAGGACGGCTATCAAAACGACAGGGATATCAAGAACAAGGGGCGAAGGTAAGACCAGCGTAATAAGAATCAAGAAATATACTCCGCTTAGAGGAATAATAGTTGATTCATACACTGATTATTTTGCTTTTTGAAAAAATCGAAATTTATTCCATGCCTTCAAATTATACAATCGATTGGTGACCACAGGACTGGAATAAGCCAATCGATTTGTAGTTAAATACAGGCATTGTTGTCGTATCTTTGTTTATCTCATATGATGACAGTTCAGCGTAATAAAGCAGTGTAATATTTTAATTTATTTGTAATATCTTCATATATTAAAATTCCCGGCAAATTGATTGATCCATGCAAGCAAACTGAACGATGTCTCGAATACGCGCTAGCAAATTACGATCACAACTTGGAAATGAATACATGTGATAAACAGGGACATCTCATGAGTTATTCGGGGAACAAATGAAAATTACTATACGTTTTTAATTAATTTGAAATTGTAGAGTCACTTATTAGGTATACTTTTACATACTTGTCGCTTGGCTGGTCACATTCACGAATACATACAATATAATCCATAAAAACGTATGTTCCATCTTCGATTTCGTGTTATTGTTATATCGTATTATAATCAATTGGCGCTCGAAAATATTTAAGACAACCCTCATCAACGTTTCACAAGGTACATAGAAGCTGAATGTACAATAACGAAGTACAGAGTTTAGTAAGCAATAAGCTCTTAGCGATTTGATGAATGGATGAGATGTTCACTCTACTTGTTAAATGTTTATTTCCGTCATTGATTGAACAGGGGTAGCGCCGGATGTGACGTCGCGGCTTTCCTAGAAGGCAACTGCCCAGCACTGTTCATATAAAAGTCGATGTATGCTTCGTTCACGTATAACAGGTGTGTCCTGTTCTGCATGCGGTGGAATTTCCCTGGGGCATTCAACGTACCAATCGATATCTGTTATGATTGAAAACATGCCATAGTTGGTAGAAAGGCAGTTTTGAATGTATCGATTGGATTTAAAAGCATGCTACATATGCATGAGAGCATAAATGACGTCACTGGAACGTACCCTCAAATTAGTATGTCCAATTACAAACACGTTCACATCAAATTAATATGCAAATTTCTTCTACATACCATATTTTAATCAACATAACTAATTAGAGTATAACCACAAATGCATGCGGAGGAAATGATTATTATATTACATTTTTCTATCGATTGCGTCCTCTAGCGGCAAAACGTTGCGTGACGTAAATGAGCGTAACGCTCCGTCGTCATTTGAAGACACAGGGCATATTGAATGCATTTACCCATTAAAATGTGATAAATTGAAAAACGTCTATCGGATTGGTTCCAAATTTGGTTTATGGGCGCTTAAACAATATGGAAATTATGGGAAAGATCCCCTATGTTGTGGAAGAATCAAGCAACTTTTCTACATAAACTAGGATTGTCATTTTTTAAAAATAGGCCCGGTTTTGTGAGAAGGATTAAGTTTTTAACCACGTATTTATTATAATGTAAAGCATTTTCCATGTATAATTACTGGAAGTTCAATGGCCAAATTGTTGAATCTTAATATCTTGAGGCTTAACTTAAAGGGTGGCATTCGTCGCGCTGCGCATGTGTGTTGATAAACATTGATTTTCCCACAATCCAATGCGCTGTTCTAATGGAAATCACAAGTATGAGGTTTGACCTAGGCGCGATTTGCACTGATTACCGCCGGTGACTTTTTCGATACCTTCCAATCACCTAAAAATACCTAATTTAAAGCTTGGTGACGTCCCACTTTGTACTCGTTGATCGGCGCAACAGTCAAAGTCGCCATATTTGTTTATATGAGACCCATATATGTGCACGACGACTACTGCCCTTTAAGGAATGTTTTCATTTCAACCCATAAACGAATCACAACAAGTGAAAACTGTTTACGCTAATATCAAGTATTGTACAGGTTTCCGATCAGTTGCTCTTAGTTCAATCAATTACTATGAACAGACAGTTTTCACAGTAATCTCAATTCGGTTAAATATTCACATACGTTTATTCAGTTTCCGGGCAGATACGCAGGTCTTCTAACGCCAAATATAAGACCTTGTTTCATTAAAAATGGTATACATTTATTAAACTACAAGACTAGCTAATAATGAATACGTCCTCTTCTAGTATTGGAGGCAGTTTACGAGAAAATGTCAAGACTATGTTGTGATGTTGAAACCATGGGAGATGCGCATCAAAACAATTGAGAGTGAGTATTCGATATTCAAAACATCATTTACAGGCTTCTGCGTCACGTGGTATTTGTGTCCGAATTAGCTATTAATATCCAGCAAATTTGCCGTCCTCGTTCATTTGATATAAGTATTCATTTGACAGTGTTTGTTGTCGATTTGTGCTAAATTAGGTTAACGTGAACCGTCTTTCGAACGAACCTTCGGCGTTACGACGTAATCGAATAACATATCACGCGCACTTGAACGCAACAAATCGTCTATTGCGACAACACGGTTTGTCATCGGGTTGAATCGAAGCACATTAGAACACGCGCAATATGTAAATACTTGGTGCTATCCTCTCGGCAAACTGTGTACAAAACCAATGTACACAACAACACGCATAGCATATAGTGAGCGGATCAACCGCCTCAGTCACATGATATAGTCAGGGAATCGTTTAGTTGTTTAGTAATTAACAATTTTATTGCATTTTCACTTGATTAACACCGTTATATATGTAAGTGATGACAACTGTTTGTGAGACATGATTTACACTACGGTTTGTTTAATGTAATGAGAGTCTTCGACGCGTCACCAATATTATGCTTGTCATCGACGACTATTCGCGTGGTGGTAGATATATAGTTTGGGACTATATTAATGATCATAGTTTGACTATATGTGATGACGTAATCAAACACAGCTATCACGTGACAATGAAATACGTGGATAATACGATTAATCTAAAACTGAAACTACAGAGATTGAATATGTATTGAATACTGTTTTATTAACCATTTACTGTTTTTATCGCCGGTCTTAAATTCGAAATACTGATCATCTACTTAGCATTTCGATATTGTTATAGAATGTAGTAAATATATATTCAGTCAACTGTGGGAAGAGAAATGTTTTGACATGTTTTATTACTAGCATGCCCGTCCCCTGTCATATACGTCTCCAGGAAATACGTGGCTACATGGTGGTCGAGCGTGGTTATCGTGAACATATTTCGATGTGTGTGTATGTGTTTTGTACTAATTTCAACGTAAAGCATAGAACTCGTGCTGATATGTTTTGTTCTAATTGCAACGTATTACGTGTTACCCTTGCTGATACGTTTTGTACTAATTTCAACGTAATACGTGACTCGTGCTGATATGTTTTGTCCTAATTGCAACGTATTACGTGTTACATTTGCCGATACGTTTTGCAGTAATTTCAACGTAAACAAGTAACTCGTGCTGATACGTTTTGTTCTAATCGCAACGTATTACGGTTTACACTTGATGATACGTTTTGTACTAATGTCAACGTAAAACACGTGACTCGTGCTGATACGTTTTGTTCTACTAGTAATCTCAACGTAATACGTGTTACACTTGCTGATACGTTTTGTTCAAATTTCAATGTAATACGTTTGACACGTGCTGTTCTTGTTGCAGGTTACTATGGGTCATCAGTGGCTTCTTATTTCGTTTTTCTCAGATGGTTATGTGTTGTCAACGTTTTATATTCGTTGCTATGGTTATTGGTCATCTTACCAGAGGTAAGCATACTGTTATTAAATAGTTGTCGTTTTCCAATGCGCGTTCGAATTTCGTGAAAAAACAAACTATGTATTTGACGGTGGTATATTTCGTATGGAACAAATACCGAACACGAGATGCATGTGCAGTAAGATTATCCAGGTGATGACAGGATACAGAAGCGACAACAGCTTATTGATAGTTGATTAAGTTTATTGAAACGTACACTAATACAGTCATGACAATGATCGACTTATATACATTCTGATTTCGGGCGGAAAGAGTATCAATTATAATTGGTCAATTAAGATGCGTTATGATTGGCTAGATTTTACATCCGGTCATATTTGATTGATTACATAATTGACTTGTATGATTGGTCGAGAGGCCGGCGGTCATCGTCTGTAATTGGTCTAATTACATAAGGAAAACATGTGATTGGGTTGACGATCGTATCGAAAATTTTCGCCAAGCTCGGTGATTTTGATTTCCAACAATGAGTTGCGAAGACCACATTTTAAAGCGAGGGAGTCGTCACCTACGCATGCGTCAGATGGCCATATCGTGTCATTGTTTACAAACGAGCGTCTACCCACGAGCCTTTGCGTTTTTAGCGTGTGTTGTTATCGTCGCTTGGGACAAAATTCCCGCACGTGCGCAGATGACGACTCTCCCGCTTTAAATTAATACATAAAATTAACAGTAGTGTTTTACCACATGAGTGATTCAGGCTAAACACGGATATTCAAAGTATATGCATAACGTGCAAAAAAGGGAGGCTCTCTATACATACCACGGTGCATGTTGGGATGGATATGCTGTAAACCTCCATGAATTACGGACCATGTTGGTGGAAACTAAATGTGTACTTTATTGTGTAGCATGTGTACAATAAACAATACAATTCAAGTTAGCAGATAGTAGACATGTCTGTGTTGAATGACATCAGTTGGCATCTTTCCAATTTTTTCAGTTCCTCTATACGATCGTTTACGAGCCATCCGGGACTCTCAAATTTGCGCGTGAAACTTAGCAATAATATCTAAGAATTACATCAATTAATCATTTGGTATATATATTTTCTAAGCTCTAGATCCAAACAAATATCCCCTACCGTTGTGTATTCGCTTATCAAGAGACTTTGCCGTTAAATTGCCGTGTGTATCCGACGCATGCGCAGTGAACAGTTATTCATGATTACCTGAGTGAAAATTGTGATACACTCCCACGATGCAGACAATTTCTCTTCCCACAATAGTTTGAACGGTAATTAATAATTCGTAATAACAAAATTTCATACTTTTTAGTTAATCTAAAAATATTTCGAAAAAAAATGCCCTCCCAAAGCTCTAAAAGCTAACCAAAATGATGACGATAAACATCAAATTCTCTGATATAAACATTGATTTTCCCTCAGTTTAATGCGCTTTCCTAATAGAAATTACAAGTACGAAGTTCGACCTGGGCGCGACGTGCACTAATTACCATAGGTGACTACTACGATACTTTCCAATCAACAAAATATCTAATTTAAGCTTGGCAATGTCTCGGTGTGTACTCGTTAGTCTGTACAAAGTTGAGGGACTGTCGTCTGCGCAACAGTCAAATTCGTCACCTTGCTCATATCAGACCCATATCTCGCGCATGCGTGGCGCGACGACCACCACTCTTTAGGCTAACTTACCGCTAATTGGAGTGAGTGAATGTTCTTAAAATACCCATGGCTCACTCCCTGTTCATAAAAGGCAAATATGCAGATGTCATGCATTTTGAGATGAGCCGATGTGTACAACAGGTAACATGCGAAAAACGTTCGGAATAAACGTACTCATTACCACAGTCACTTGGGGGCTGGAAATCAATGAATACTATTTTTTTTAAATCATCCGCTATACGTATATAAATATACAAGTTGTTAAACATGGAACATAGTATAATCGACACCTTGTCGGTTCAAATTTCGATTTCTTACCTTAAAATGCGAAACAAAAAGTTTAGAAGGGATCGGGTGTTATGTTAATAACCATTGTTCATAATCGCTAACTTTGTTTTATTCAAAACTTCACAAATCCTGCGTTTTCTGATGATATCCGACGACTTCATGAATGAAAATGGTCAGCAGCCAGAATCAAGGGGATTCGCACAGAGTTCTGGCAGATATTCATTTACTAAGAAACCTATAAACAAAAGAATATGCAATAACTGTGACACAAATTCAATTGATGATGAAGAAAATTTTTTATTGAATTGCCCAAAATATAACACAGGGAAAGCTTCATTCAAACAAATTATGACATTACTCTCATCCAAAAATAAAAATATATACATATTACATATATACATATATCACATATATACTCTCAAGCAAAGAGAGCATATATGGCATAATTATAGATCTTGCCAATTTTATTTACACAACACAAAGACTTATTTCACATTTAAATACTAGCTCTTTTGTTTTTTTTTATAATTTTTTTACATATATCATTGTTATTATTTTAAAACTCTTTTTTTGCTATACTTATCCTATGCTAATCTTTTTACATGGAGACAATAAAGTTATTATTATTATTACTGAAATAGTGTTTGATTAAATATTTGACACGAACACACTGATTAATATAATCTGTTTATTATAATAAAACAATGGTGTTGCATCATTCCTAAACTTAAGGTAAATTTATTCTGATGATCAATATTTAGTTTTTAGGGGGTGCCAAGAAATGTAAAAAAAAAAGGTTTTTCTATCCTACATTGAACTTCGGATGATGACTCTAAGATGTTATTTACCCAGAGATACCTCATAAATATTATTTTTAAAATAGCGTGTAGTTTATTGTAAACATAACCTATCAAAATTGGAACATTGCTTTATATTTATCGAAGTCCACGGATAACTTATTTTATCTATTCTAAAGATCATTTTGAAAATTCAATCAAAATTCAATCTGAAACAAAATTGCAACAATGCACCTACTAATAAGGTCGCGCCATAGACGGATCTTATCAGAACACAATATTTATGTACTGTGATTTGAATTAAAATTGACTTTTGACACATAATTACAGTTGTATCCACGGAACGATGATTTATTATTCTGTTTCCGTATATTCAAAGATAACAATATTCTTGAATAAAACAGCACAGTTTAAAGAGATCGTACGGCGCGCCGTTTCGGTTAATGTCCTGTGTGATAAAAGCGTGAGATGAAATGTTTCACCCTTTAGTAATCTACGTGGTCCTTGGCTGAGTTGCCACATAATACTTTATATGACCGTAGCACCTACTAAAAGTCAATGTTTTGTCAAAAATACAATATACAGTAAACGTTACCTACTCGCCATATTTAAACTGAACTTTCATTCGGTGTCTAATGTTTGTTATTAACATGGACGTTTCGGGTCGATTAGTTTTTAATATGAATCTAGTGGAATGCAAATTATAAAATAATATAATGGAAACGCGGAAAAAAACAGTTATTATAAATTACGTTTTAATGAGAAATGTGTTATTTAGACGAGTAGTTGACAGTGATGTTTTATGTCCCATCCTAGAAGGGGGTACCGTTTATGCCCTACTTGCTGCAATGAAAACGTTGATTTCAGAGAGTGATGTCATTTATTTTCTATTATGACTGTCTTTTGAGATAGAAAATATATTGCATGGTTGACTGACTTATTACCTTATTTTTATTACACATAGGTGTATCATACACCATTTACTGAATAAAAGCATGGTCTTTAAAGAAAGTCAAATGTTGATATTTGGTTTATAAAGTCAGTGATATATAATGATTATGACTTCATCTTATCCAATATTCATTTTTTTTATCCATACATCCGATATACCATTTATATATCCGAAACTGTTTAACTTTTTTTATTATCTATAAGTGGTCAACATGACAAAATCAGTAAACAATAAATAAATAAATAAATAAATAAATAAATAAATAAATAAATAAATAAATAAATAAATAAATAAATAAACAAACAAACAAACAAACAAAAACAAACAATAAATAATAAATAAATAAATAATAAATAAATAAATAAATAAATAAATAAATAAATAAATAAATTAATAAATAAATAAATAAATAAATAAATAAATAAATAAATAAATAAATAAATAAATAAATAAATAAATAAATAAATAAATAAATAAATACAGGGGTTATATTCTTGATAAACTATTAATACTGAGTTAAATTAAGTGTGCATTGATTTCATAAAAAATTATTCGTTAATTAGGTAGTCGATAACGATGAAATTGTTATCAACAATGATATTCTGCCTAGTGTTATACTATGCTGCTCATAGTTCGGTGTTAACAAATAATCATGGGCACTAAAGTTAACATTCACATGTACTGTATGCTACATATACCCAATTTTAGTTGTAGTATACTCTCAACGCTCATACTCTCAAATGAAAGTGTTGTATCTATTTATTACAACAATGTTTGAAAAAAAAACAAAGTATTCAATTGATTGTCTTTGTCTTTGACATTTTTTACACCACGACACAGTATCTATGTGTGATAAATCATACTCGGTTCACTCATTAATTTCTCTAGACATGCATAATTTGGAAACAAAAAAAAAATAATTACCATGCAATCTATTAGATGATTGCATATTTGTACATGTGTCATGGTGAATTGACTGTTTACAAGTCTAATGTATATATATAATTGATCCGAGTAATCAACAAGATAAATAATAAAATGGCAGTCAGTCACGACAACCCCGAGGCCATATTGAAGTGAAAACTAATTAATCACAGCTTTATACGTCTCAATCGGATTTGGTTGCCAGGAAAACTGGTTTTTTTAAATAAAAGAAATTTTAAGTAACGTCGACATGATCATCCGTAGAGTACGCTAAACTTGTACTAATCATAATCCGTCAACACGCACTGACAAAACACATTATTTCAAATGAGAAAGTTAATGATAGATTATGATATATCATGCAGTACCAAAAAAAACAATATATCGTTCCATCATTCATCTACAATTTGACAGATTGAAAGTCAATAATTTTGGCACCTGTTTCCATGGTAACCGTACATGATTCTACATAGCCTTCAGCATTAAACTCAAAATCTAAGTCGGCCACTCCCAAACTAGTCAATAATGCACTGATATATGTGAACTGTTTGTACAGCTGTTTTCAAGTGCAGATCCGAATGACTCCCCAAGAAAGCAACTCCCTGACGAAGATACGGATACTGCAATGGATCTTGAGACAGTATGGGACTTAAATGTGAGTATACTTATATATAATGTGATCGGCGCTATCTCAACGACGATTTATTTATGCTACACTTGATCATTTCGATTAGCAAACCACAACATCTTGCGTGGATTTAACTTCATCGAATTTTCAGTCGATTATGATATGATGTGTTGTGATGCGATGTGATGTGATGTGATGTGATGTGATTCGATGCGACGCGACGCGATGCGATGCGATGTGATGCCATGTGATGCGATGTGATTAGATGTGATGTGATTCGATGCGACGCGACGCGATGCGATGAGATGCGATGCGATGTGATGTGATGTGATGTGATTCGATGCGACGCGACGCGATGCGATGAGATGCGATGCGATGTGATGCCATGTGATGTGATGCGATGTGATATGATGCCGTGTGACATGCATTTATGTTCGAAGTGTTATGTTCTGTACCGTAAACTTATGTATACGCCACAGCTATGCTAGAACAATGAATTCATTTATAAGTCAAGTCTTTTTTATATACTTGTTTTTTTCTTTGTTTGTTTATATATATTGTGTTTTTGTTTTTAATATGGGGTGTACGAACTTTTCCACTTTATATCCTGCAATAAAGATTTAATAAAACAAATAAATATATTGCACCGTCAGAAAATTATCAACATGAGCCACACATCATCTGATGGTATGAAATAATCATTATATGATATTTACTTGGATGTAAACCTTAATGTCGACATATTTCTCTCTCAATAATTTTATTTTACTTATCACGATTTTGTTTACATTGTTTAGGGTTACTTAAAATACTCTATGTTGTTTTATGGTTGGTATAGCCATAGCCCATCAAACGATAATGGATACCGACTGCCGTTAGCATATCTGCTGGTTGGAATTGCTACATATGCCGTCAGTTTTCTGATAATTTTACGAAGGTAAATATGTGAAACTTGATGTGTTCTTGTGCGTTATTCGCAATACTTATTTGTTACTTCGCATCATTTGCTAGTGACATACTTGACGAGAGCCCTCTATCGGTCGTATGTGTCTATTATTGGATGAACGATGTCAGACAATACTATGAGGTAATACATTTTTGTAATTACGAGGATACTGTACAGTATGCACGAAGATTTAGCGAACTTCCTTGCGTGGGGTCCGGTCAAACCCTGGAGGCAACCATGTTTGTTTTTACTATTAGAGAACGCTTACGCGCGTTCCATATTTGGAATTCGCGTTTCCTAATACGGCAGGATGAAAATACCAAGTGCAATACCGGACATTAGGGGATTTTCCGTACAATTGCGAGATCTCGCGAGATGTATGAAAAACGCGCGTCGAACGTCTGCCGCAAAAATCGAACGATTTGATTTTGAACTAGAATTTCTTTATTTCGTAACTCACATCGACCGGCCGATCTTCGACAGAGGAATATTGCTTCCGAATACCCTTACTTAATCAAAATTGCCTATCATCAAATGTGGACAGCACATTATTAAGCATGGAAATGTCCCCCAAAATACTTCGCGTTTGTCGAATCCCACGCGATGTTTAACGCCACTACGACGCTATGACCTTTGTTTGTCCTGTTTTTACGTTCGATTTCACGCATAACGCGTGATTCTCGCAGTGAACGGAAAATGATCTATTACGACACGCGGTAACTTATGGCGTTACGTAATCATGCCTGTTAGAAAACATGAAATTGGAAGTAACTTTTGAAATGCGATTAGCGAGAATAATCATTTGAATGAATCATTACGTAATTAATGGCTATGTGAATTGATTACACATGCTTTTTTCGCGCTGATTTGTTTATGTATTTAATTTTGTTTTGCTGCTCATATTATTTTATTACATTATAGAATGGCTCAGAATTCTAAAATGAATAAAATCTCCAGTCCAGAAGAACAGTTTTCATTTTCTTGGAAGTTATTTACGGGGTGGGATTACATGATTGGTAATCCAGAAACAGCCGACAATACGGTTGCTGCTAATGCCACGGGATTTAGGGTAAATATACATATTTATAAATATTTTCACTCGAAACCTATTTTTACAATTAACACTATTATTTCAATTCCTATAGACTCCTAGTGAGCTCGTAAAAAATAATGCACATTTTAGATTTGATTTTGTATAGGCCTACAGCAATTAACAATATACTAGTATTTAAGATCGCAATGTGATCGATTGATATATTACAAATATTGATTCTTTCTATTGTGTATGTTAGTCCTCATCGCCGGACTAAGTGGGTGATTATGATCTGGTTCAATAAAGTTATTATAATAATAGACGATCATACTGACGTAAAACGTGTTTTTAATTATGTGTCTTAGTTGGACATTATCGAACAGTTTAACTGAATAAGTTGTACCTAACATCGTAGTCAATATCCAACTAAAGAAATTATAATAGACGTCTAGCTACGTAGATTCACACAACGCTTTTCCATCTAATTTCTAGGAATCGCTAATAGAATTGGAGGAAAAAGAAAAACAGGAAAAGAGGTAAATTTGCAGATTATAGTTTCTTTCAATCATTTATGTTCTATATCATTCGTATTTCCTTTGTATTTGTATTTCTACATTCACACCAGATATATATATTAAAACATAATTGTAATCGGACTAGAGCATTTTAAATGCAGAAAGAAGAAATATTTTGTCGGTTTGCATCAATCATCAAATGGTTCATTTTGCCTATCGTACGCTAATCGGATAATAACCAGATAGTTTTAGTTTGTTGGGACACAGCTAGGTTCTGACAAATTCTGAACCTCTTTTAGGTATATTACAATGTCATCGCACAAAATAATGTCGAAGCGACTCACAATTATAATGTTCGGTGATATGTTTATACGTATTTACTCATATCTTCTTAAATATTTTTTTTTCTTCAGCACTCCACTCACTATATTCCTACGAGTGTTGGCAAATTTCTTGGTGTTAATTATACTTTGTGGTAGCGGTTACGTCATATACCAAGTCGTGTTGAGATCACAAGAGTTTGAGAAGGTTGAGGATAAATCACAGTTGAACTGGTGGCAAGTTAACGAGGTATGCATCTTTTCACTGTTATGTGCTAGATTGCTTTGATGGCGTGATGCCGTGCGATCGCTACTCACAGGTGATCCCAAATAAAACCGGACAATGCCGCGCGCACAGTATTCTCCACGTATGCGTAAATATACAGACTTTGTAAAACAACGTAAATTGTACTACAAGAATGCATGTAAAATACGTACGTATACGCTGCGTGCCACCCAAGGCGAGCATGGATGAATGAAACCATAAAAATACGTAGCGCATATGTACGTATATTCAAAGAGTTGTATACTTAATCATATCGTATACCGTGAATATACAAAAAAAAATGTATATCTGCGTATACAATTGTATATCAACGGGTTTGCCCAGTGGGCGTTGCTATACGACGCCATTTTGAATCTGACTTTAGTTGGTAATCATAATTATAATTTTAACAATATTTCAAACGCCGATTGAAGAATAACTAAACCCATTGCCCATCCAAACCTCTGATCTATATAATTGATTTCGTGTCTTATGCAATTATAAATAGCGTTACTATGGCGACACTATTACTAACCCCGTATTCTGTAGAATAATGTCACATAATGATGGGTTGATCAAGATATACATTTTTAACGTGTGTCACAGTCACAAAGTTACAGATTTACTTATTTCCATTATCTGCAGGTATCGATCGTGGTGACGGGAATTGGAATAATATGTCCTAATGTATTTGAGTTGATTGGAGCAATGGAGAGTTATCATCCGAGGAAAGCTCTACGATGGCAACTCGCAAGGTGAGCAGAATACAGAGGGTATATTCAAATGGACAGCATATTTACAGATTTTTAACAAATTTTCATTAGTATGTTTGTTTGTTTTTGTGACCAATTTATTCCACTGTGCTCTAGAGGGCTAGCTTTATCAAGTGGTAATTTACTTTTTGGTATCACGTATGAATAGCAAATGCAAATGGCCGCCGAGATGACGCTGAGAGCGAGAGTGTCACGAGATTGGTTTCCCCATTAACATAGCTTCTTTCTTCCCAGTCAACACATTCACTACAAACCTGAAGTAACCCTGGCAAAAACAGTCTCCTGACTCACTGACTTCCAACGACATCTTGTCGGTCATTCGCGTCTACAGTATATAAGTAAACCTAATTCAAAGTGTTACAAGATTGGTTGATGAAAACGATATAGACATCATCTACATGCATTTGTTTAACGATATAATCGTTTAGAAATCCATAGTAAGTTACAAAATATGTGAAGTGAGCATAATATTCCTTGGCCAGGGTAATCTTCGCAGCATGCCTCATCAAGCTACTAAACTATATTAGTAAACATTTTCTTTCTATGTTTGTACGTACATCATCGATAATTAAACACGTGTTGCACCATTGTCTGTATCAAACCCAGTTATGTAATTCAGAGTATATCATTATATTGTATCATTAGATGATTTTTAGATAGGGAGTAAACCTTGAAAAAGGTCAGAACCGGTGACAACTTATTATTAAATACGCCTTTAGCAGCGCCCATAATCCTGATTCTCAATATATCAATCAATCTAGGTATCGGTCGAGATAATGTCTTTGTTTCTTGGCATTGTTGAATGATGAGGTTTCATTAATCGGATAATAATTTCTGTAATGAATTGAAGTGTGTATGAAAAGAATGCAGCTATATGAGTAACCTTAATTATTTTTTGTAAATGTTTAATTAATTATGTTTGATAATATTTTTACAGTATAATATATTATATGGTGAAAACGATGATTTTGTTGTTTTCTAACTAAACAATATTTTTACTTTATAAAAATACATACCCTATTTAACACAATTATTTATTTCAACATGGTCAAACATACTAGAAGCTTTATTTTTTTTCTTTTTATAATGTGATATTTATATCTTTACGTGCACAGGATTATGGTGTTGTATATGGGAAATCTGTATACCTTAATAATAGCATTATTGGGAAGAGTGTCAATGTTGGTACGTATCTAATTCCAGTACGCATGCGTGAACTTTCAATAGACACCATGATTTTTGTCAAGAAATGAGCTCACTTACATCTTGCACTCGCTACAAAGCATAATTTCTTTTTCTTTTCAACTAGTTCTCATATTTTCTACTACCAATCAAAAAAATTGTTTTACCTTTCGAATGTTGGAGGTGCAATATTATTTTAATAGTATTTAAGATGGTTATAATATCAGTTTCTTTTTCTAATAATTGTTTTCTGTCGAGTCGTATTGCGTTATTTTTGGAGCCACTTACACTTTCCCGCTGATTCTTTTACGCTCTCTTGCGCACATTCCTTTTCTATATCTAACATATCACCCCAATCACTCAAACTTTTTACATTGTTGGGAAACTGTGGGACCTTACATTGCAGACGACGCAGTCTTATTTTATCTTCACGAATCTATCCTATCATCCCCTCTGGTCTCCTTTTCTTGTTTATTCTTCTTTTACACTGTCGCTTTATTCTTCGCTGGATTATCATAGTCTGAGCTCCAAAAGGTGAGTTGCTTGCATGACTTGCCGTCCCATATACTGCGTGACGTCACCTGCGTGACGTCATCATAATGCATGTCGTTTACCCAAATCTAGAAACCAATCATTTGCATGGATGGCAAAACCTGTAGAAATATTAAACATCTCGTGTGTTCAAATTGAATAATTCACGTCGTGACGAGACTTTGAAGTTATATCTCTATGTATAAACGTATGTTTACAATGACAACCTGTTTTTTTGTATATGTGTTTGTTAAATCACGTATTTGTAAATATTGATACGGCATGACTTGGATATAATATACCTTGGTTGAATTACATTTTGAAAACTACACGACATACTGTACTGTCAGAAACGGGAATTTTCTATTGTGGGTGGAGTTTTCTTGTTGGCGGTTTTGTCTATCGCACATTCTCATAATTGTGAAAATATTTGGTAATCAATATGCGTTGGTGTAAGGGTGTGAAAATGATTTCCTCACAGGAAACCTGGATATGGTGTTACATACATGTTGCATATCACATATTTTATTCAATGTATACCACATAATGACTGATATTTATGCATTCTTCAAGCCTAAATCGGCAAGATATTTAATCAAGATAATCATACGTCGGTAAAATCAATACCGTATTTACGTGTTCTTCTCTTGATTCACCCGCGCAGACGAGGAATTCTAAAGCCAATTATGATGAAACTGCAGCCCATCGTGAAGCATTGTCGGAAGCCTTGACAGGATGGTTGAACGCCACTTTTGCTGCGAATGAAACAGATCTGCTGGGTCAAAGAAACGACACGATTGATAACTTACAAAACAACCTCACAGTTATCGACGAACAATTAAACACCCTGGGGCCAGATGATTGTTGGGAGACGTATGTTGGACAGGTAAGAAAGATAATACATTTAAACAGACAGTATCCCACAGGTCCACCGTAAAAAGGCGAATCTCGTATAATAAATGATCGCGTTTTAATCACATATACCAATGTTTAGTACAAGTACTGTAAACTTTGCATTAGCTTAGAACTATTCAGTTAGAACCAATTTTCAATATGCGAGATTAATTATTGTGAAGAATGCAATAATCGAATACCCCCATCTGTATTTTTTATTTTTTTGATTGATATTTATACTATATTTTTCATTATTTGTTGCTTTTATTACATACGTTGTATTTTGTATTACTACAACTTTCAAAAATAACAGTAAACAAATAATAAATTAAACTAAAATGCATGAACAATAATAAATTCAATCCATAATTAAAAAAAAAATAGCATTTTAATTTATTTAAATTGCGAATAGCCCAAATCGATGTCGCTACTCATGTGACGATTCCTGCCTTTATATAGTGGTAGTACGCAGTATACCTCGTCGTGTGGATTCTGATTAGATACAATGTTATTTCTGGTATATTAACGTTTACTGGTGACGGCATGTTGTGTAATTATAATATATCAGTATTTCGTGATAAAATGGACTAACCTGGACATGCTATTAAACCGAATATAAATGGTTTATAAAGCTACATACCTCAATGCATTTCCTGCTGTTGTCGGGTGACGTGTTCATATTTATTTTCTCATAGCACAGACAGAAATATTTTCAGTGGAATTCATTAGAACATAAGTCATTAATTGTAACGATAAGTAAAATCAAATCAACGGATGTCGACACTATCATCTAAGAAGTCACGGAATCCTGTGTGAAATTGTTCTTGTGTTGTCTATAGGAATTTTTCAAGTTGGTGTTATTCGATGGCTTAGCATTGGTTCTTGGAATATTGGTTGGCGATTATTTACGTGCATTATTGGTTCGATATCTGAATGGATGTTGCTGTTGTGATCTTGAAAAAAAATTTGTAAGTCACATTATGTTTAAAAAATATTTGCTGTAGCTCTTTTCAAAAAGAAGTGAATTGATCAGAAAAACTCTCAGAAACTATTGTTTAATTTGTCATCGTTGAAGATAAATTTAAAGTTACAATCCCACTTCGTATCTTTAGAATCACTGCAAGCCTCATAAAGGCTTTGGATTGTGTGCAGTTTATGAGAAACTTCCTAAAATAAAATAAAGTGGCTTTGAGTGATTACAAAGAAAAGCGTTTGATTTGTTGTTAAGACAACACACCATTCGCTAATATTCCAGGATTTGATGCCATACCAACCGATTTTATCATTTTACCATAGTGATCAAAATAATAAATGGGGGGGGGGTATTGTGAATATGGTACAAGTAGGAATGCAAATTTAAAATCTTTGTCTGTGCCTCTGTAGTTATCATTGTGTGTTCTGAATCGCAACTGAGGGACAGATACTTGTTTAGTATTGACTGACCAAACAAACTGTCTCTATGTTACAGCCAGAATATCCAGAATTTAAAATTGCCGAGAACGTTCTACATCTAGTGTACAACCAAGGCATGGTTTGGTAAGTTTTAATTGTTTTACATACTATGTACTGTTATAGGAAATTGTTTTCAAAAAATTACGCGCGTATGAGATTGGGGGAAATGAGACATAAGGGTTATCCGATCAACAATGAAAAATAATCATTTATTATCGTTTAGTGTCACCGTTGGAAATATGTACTGTACCACCTCGAATATTCTAGCTATATCTGGCAACAGAACTCACAACTAGAAAGTCTAAGTCTAGGAACAAAATAAAATATACAACCAACGATGAACGTACACAATACAATCAGTGAGAGAATACACTTCCATAAATACTGCCAACGAGTGACGTCACGTTACATTTAGTACATTACAATCCATTACATATACGTAATACGTATTACATAAAGCATACAATGTGTACCACATCTCAGTCTGAGATATTTCATGCACATTATAGCGAAATATCTAGATATGTGTTAATTACAGTTCTAATAACATTTTAAGCATGTTAAAGGGTGGCGATCGTCTTGCACGCGCGGTGTTCGTATTTCATGTAAACAAAAACTGTATTTTACACGCGTTGTATACGTCACTATGAGTCCCATATCGAACAGGACGCGGCGCGACGACCACCGCTCTTTAATCTTGTTTTTTATTTTATTCATAGGATGGGATGTTTCTTCGCACCTTGTTTACCAGCATTTAATGTACTAAAGTTAATCGTCACTTTTTACGTACGTGCTTGGGCGTGCATTGTTTGCAACGTGCCACATGAAAGAGTTTTCCGTGCATCCGGGTCGCACAACTTCTACCTGACCCTGTTGTTAGTTATGTTATTTCTGTGTGTCTTGGCGTTTGGCTATGCAATCGTCGATATCACACCGTCGTATAACTGTGGGCCTTTCAGGTATGCTAGGTGTTATTATTATTATCTTTTATTTGTCTGTAGCCTTATTATAGAGGGTCGGCAAGGGGTATTTTCGTAAGCTGTATTCAATTATTTTTCGTAAGCGTATAAAGCATTTTCCACATTTAATGTTTGACCGGTCTCCGCACAAAGAAGTTCGCTAATTCTGTTCTAAACTTTTTGGATTTCGGCATTCCCATGATGTATCCTTGGAAGGAAAAGATGTATAATAATAAGGTTACTACGAGGATGCCTCATAGTATGCACTCAGACAGTACGCCGTCGCATCGACCTCCATTGTGCGTCGGTCGATACTTCCGCTGTTTTCGTGCATACTTTAATGTACTAGTATCCTCGTAATAACCTCATATTAATGTAGCACAACCTTTTTACGTTCTGCATATGTGGATACGCAGGATCATGCTGTTAATTATTTTGTCATGTAAGAGTCCTTTATAGATTGTGTACATGATTTTATTTCCACTTTTACATGTACATATTTTATTACAATTACTCCCTCAGCGGCTACAACAGTATACTGGACATTTTAGGCAATAGTATGGAAGAAACCTTTCCCCCGTGGTTGAATGCCGTAATCGATTATATAAACACAGCTGGTGTTGTCGTTCCTCTGATACTACTGCTTTCGTAAGTACACTTTATTGACCCAGGTTGAATAACGAAATACTCGACGTATTACAAAAAAACACACACAAAAAACAAAAAAACGGAGGCCTATAAACCTATAATCGAATCGAGCAAAAAATAGTATAAGATATATGATTCTTTGATTTTTCAGGATGATAATTTACTATTTCTGGTCAGTATCTGGATCGTATAAGGAAGCAAATAACGAGTTGCGTATCCAATTACTGTATGTAAGTATATATCATTGCTTCATC